CCCTCCGCTGACGGCTTTTATTTATGGCGCCACCAGGTGGAAAGGCGGGAAAAGCGCGGCGGGAGAGGCCACGCCCACAAGGCGGACACGTCAATCAAACACAAACCACGCCCACAACGGGTACGCCAATCAACAAAGGAACCGCCCATCGCTAAAGCCACGCCCGCAAACGGACACATCAATCAAGGAAAGCCCCGCCCATTGTTATAGCCCTGCCCACAAACGGGCACATCAATCAAAAACCTGTCAAAAAAACATCAATCAGTCCATGGGTCTGTCCAGGTGTGTCCATGGGTCCACCCAGGTGTGTCCAGGTGTGTCCAGGTGTGTCTGTGTGTCCGTACAGGTCTGTCCAGGTGTGTCCAGGTGTGTCCAGGTGTGTCTGTGTGTCCGTCCAGGTGTGTCCAGGTGTGTCTGTGGGTCTGTCCAGGTGTGTCCATGTGTCCATCCAGGTGTGTCCAGGTGTGTCCGTCCAGGTGTGTCCGTGTGTCCATCCAGGTGTGTCCGTGTGTCTGTCCAGGTGTGTCCGTGTGTCTGTGCCGTGTGTCTGTCTGTCCCGTGTGTCCATCCCGTGTGTCCGTCCTGTGTCCATCTGTCCGTGTGTCCGTGCCGAGCGTCTGTCTGTCCGTCCCATGTCCATCTGTCTGTGTGTCCATCCCGTGTGTCCGTGTGTCTGTCCTGTGTCCGTGTGTCTGTCCCGTGTCCATCTGTCCGTGTGTCTGTGTCCATCCCGTGTGTCCATGCCGTGTGTCTGTGTGTCTGTCCTGTGTCCGTGCCGAGTGTCTGTCTGTCCCGTGTGTCCGTCCCGTGTGTCCGTGTGTCCGTCCCGTGTCCATCTGTCCGTCTGTCTGTCCCTCATTTCCAGAAGAGCACGTTCCAGAGCAGCAGCCAGCAGGGGTAGGCCCCCAGGGTGAGGAGGGGGCTCAGGTGGGCTCCGTGCAGGTGCTCCTGGAGCAGCCCCTGGCCCAGAGCCCCCAGGAATCGCTGCCAGGCCTCGCCCAGACCCGCCGGGGCCTCCAGCAGCTCCCGCTCCAGCAGCACCGCCAGGAACAGCGAGACCCCCGGGGACGTCAGCAACAGCAGCACCGCCAGGGGGAACCTGGGGTGGGGAGGGGGTGTCAGAGACCCCCAGGTGTCCCCAGGTGTGTCTGTCACCTGCCCCGGGTGTGGCCCCAGGTGTCCCCAGGTGTATCTCACCTGCCCTGGGTGTATCCCCAGGTGTATCTCACCTGTCCCAGGTGTATCTCACCTGTCCCCAGGTGTCCTCAGGTGTCCCCAGGTGTGTATCTCACCTGCCCCAGGTGTATCCCCAGGTGTCCCCAGGTGTATCCCACCTGTCCCCAGGTGTCCCCAGGTGTATCCAGGTGTGTCTCACCTGTTCCCCCCAGGTCTCACAGCAGCTGCAGGGGGCACGAGGGTGACGCCCAGCAGGAAGCCCAGGTGTGTCCCCATGTCTCACCTGTCCCCAGGTGTGTCCCCAGGTGTCCCCAGGTGTATCTCACCTGTCCCCAGGTGTGTCCCCAGGTGTCCCCAGGTGTGTCTCACCTGTCCCCAGGTGTGTCCCAGGTGTACCCAGGTGTATCTCACCTGTCCCCAGGTGTGTCTCACCTGTTCCCCCCGGGTCTCACGGCGGCCGCGGGGGGCACGAGGGTGACGCCCAGCAGGAAGCCCAGGTGTGTCCCCATGTCTCACCTGTCCCCAGGTGTCCCCAGCTGTCCCCAGGTGTCCCCAGGTGTGTCCCCAGGTGTCCCCAGGTGTGTCTCAGCTGTCCCCAGGTGTCCCCAGCTGTCCCCAGCTGTCCCCAGGTGTCCCCAGGTGTCCCCAGCTGTCCCCAGGTGTGTCCCCAGGTGTCCCCAGGTGTTCCCAGGTGTGTCCCCAGCTGTCCCCAGGTGTATCCAGGTGTGTCCCCAGGTGTCCCCAGGTGTCCCCAGGTGTGTCCCCAGGTGTATCCAGGTGTGTCTCCGCAGGGCTCTGTTCCTGGAGCCGACGCTGTTGATGCTGGACGAGCCCACCAATCACCTGGACCTGAACGCCGTCATCTGGCTCAACAAGTGCGGGAAATCCGGGAATTCCGGGAATTCCGGAACCTTCCGGAGCCTTCCGGGACCTTCCGGGACCCCCGGGGGATTCTGGGGAATTTTCTGGGAATTTTTGGGGGGGAATTTCCCCAAATCCCGGGAATTTCTGGGGGGAGTTTTGGGGAATTTGGGGTTTTTTGGGAAGGCTGGGATTTGGGATTTTGGGATTTTGGGATTTGGGGAATTTTGGGATTTGGCTCATCCAGAGCGGGAATTTGGGGGGTTTTGGGGTGCTGGGGGATGCCAGAATTCCCGTTTTTTTCCCCAAAAAAATTCCCATTTTTCCCTCAGAATTCCTATTTTTCTTCTCCAAATCATCTTTTTTTCCCCAAAATTCCCACTTTTTCTCCATAAATTCCTGTTTCTCCCCCCAAATTCCCATCTTTTCCCCCCAAATCCCCGTTTTCTCCCCCAAAATTCACATTTTTTCCCCCAAACTTCCCGTTTTTCCCCCCAAACTCTCTTTTTCCTCCCAAATCCCCATTTTTCTTCCCTAAACCCCCATTTTCTCACCCCAATTCCCATTTTTTCCCCCCAAATTCCCATTTTTCCTCCCCCAATTTCTCATCCTTAACCCCAGAATTTCCATTCTTCTACTACCCAAAATTCCCATTTTCTCCTCCAAATCTCTGTTTTCTCCCCCCAAAATTCCCATTTTTTCCCCCCAAATCCCATTTTTCCCCCCCAAATTCCCCATTTTTCCCCCAAAATCCCCGTTTTTCCCCCAAAATTCCCATTTTTTCCCCCAAAATTCCCATTTTTCCCCCCAAATTCCCTTTTTTTTCCCCCCAAATCCCCATTTTTTTCCCCCAAATTCCCATTTTTCCCCCCAAATTCCCTTTTTTTTCCCCCCAAATCCCCATTTTTCCCTCCCCCAATTCCGTTTTTGCCCAAATCCGGGCGTTTTGGCCCCGATTCCCGCAGTTACCTGCAGGGCTGGAAGAAAACGCTGCTGGTGGTGTCGCACGACCAGGGATTCCTGGACGACGTCTGCACCGACATCATCCACCTGGATTCCCAGAGATTGCACTACTACCGTGGGAATTACAGTGAGAATCCTGGGATTTTGGGGGGAAAAACCGGAAAAACGGGAAAAAACGGGAGAAAAATCGCAAAAAAGGGGAAAAAACGGGGAAAAAACAGGGAAAAAATGGGAAAAACCAGGGGAAATGGGGTCTGATCCACCTGGATTCCCAGAGGCTGCACTACTACCGCGGGAATTACAGTGAGAAGCCCGGATTTGGGGGGAAAAACCGGAAAAACAGGAAAAAACGGGCGAAAAATCGCAAAAAAGGGGAAAAAACGGGAAAAAACAGGGAAAACGGGGAAAAAACCAGGGGAAATGGGGTCTGATCCACCTGGATTGCCAGAGATTGCACTGCTACCGTGGGAATTACAGTGAGAAGCCCGGATTTGGGGGGAAAAAGCGAAAAAACGGGAAAAAACGGGAGAAAAATAGCAAAAAATGGGAAAAAATGGGAAAAAACAGGGAAAAAACGGGGAAAAAACCAGGGGAAATGGGGTCTGATCCACCTGGATTGCCAGAGATTGCACTGCTACCGTGGGAATTACAGTGAGAAGCCCGGATTTGGGGGGAAAAAGGGAAAAAACGGGAAAAAACGGGCAAAAAATGGGAAAAAATGGGAAAAAATGGGAAAAAAGAGGGGAAATGAGAGGGGATCCACCTGGATTCCCAGAGGCTGCACTGCTACCGTGGGAATTACAGTGAGAATTCCCGGGATTTGGGGGGAAAAAGGGAAAAAATGGGAAAAAACGGGAGAAAAATCGCAAAAAATGGGAAAAACGGGAAAAAACGGGGAAAAAATGGGAAAAAACCAGGGGAAATGGGAGGTGATCCACCTGGATTCCCAGAGGCTGCACTGCTACTGTAGGAATTACAGTGAGAAGCCCGGATTTGGGGGGAAAAACCGGAAAAACGGGAAAAAACGGGAGAAAAATCGCAAAAAATGGGAAAAAATAGGAAAAAACAGGGAAAAAAATGGGAAAAAAGAGGGGAAATGGGGTCTGATCCACCTGGATTCCCAGAGATTGCACTGCTACTGTAGGAATTACAGTGAGAACCCCGGGGTTTCTGGGAATTTTGGGTGGAAAAACCTGGATTCCCAGAGATTGCACTGCTACTGTAGGAATTACAGTGAGAACCCCGGGGTTTCTGGGAATTTTGGGTGGAAAAAGGGAAAAAACGGGAAAAACCAAGAAAAAAAAGGGGGAAAAAAGGGAAAAAATGGGAAAGAATTGGTGAAATTTGGAGTTTGTCCACCTGGATTCCCAATGGTCGTGCTGGTGGTGTGGGAATTACAGTGAGGAATCCCAAGAATTCCTGGAATTTTGGGTGGAAAAAGGGTGAAAACGGGAGAAAAGAGGGAAAAAAATGGGAAAAATGGGAAATAAAAGGGGAAAATGGGGGGAAATGTGGGAATGGAAGGGAAAAACGGGGATTGGGGCCCGGAAGGAGCCGGAATTCCCGGGAATTTTGGGGTTGCAGTGACCTTTAAGAAGATGTACCAGCAGAAACAGAAGGAGCTGATGAAACAATTCGAGAAACAGGAGAAGAAACTGCGAGACCTCAAGGCCGGGGGGAAATCCACCAAGCAGGCGGTGAGGGGTTCCTGGGAGCCCCAAATCCCCGGGAATTCAACCCAAAATCCCTGGGATTTCAACCCAAAATCCCCAGAATTGGGGCCCCAAAATCCCCGGGAATTCAACCCCAAATCCCTGGGAATTCAACCCCAAAATCCCTGGGAATTCAACCCCAAATCCCTGGGAATTCAACCCAAAATCCCTGGGAATTCAACCCAAAATCCCCCGGAATTCAACCCCAAATCCCTGGGAATTCAACCCCAAAATCCCCGGGAATTCAACCCCAAATCCCTGGGAATTCAACCCCAAAATCCCCGGGAATTCAACCCCAAAATCCCCGGGATTTCAACCCAAAATCCCTGGGATTTCAACCCCAAAATCCCCGGGAATTCAACCCAAAATTCCTGGGATTTCAACCCCAAAATCCCCGGGATCTGAGCCCCAAAATCCCTGGGAATTCAACCCCAAATCCCTGGGAATTCAACCCCAAATCCCCGGGAATTCAACCCCAAAATCCCCGGGATCTGAGCCCAAAATTCCTGGGAATTCAACCCCAAAATCCCCCGGAATTCAACCCCAAAATCCCCGGGAATTCAACCCCAAAATCCCGGGGAATTCAACCCCAAAATCCCCGGGAATTCAACCCAAAATCCCTGGGATTTCAACCCCAAAATCCCCGGGAATTGAACCCCAAAATGTCAGGAAATTGAGCCTCAAAATCCCTGGGGTTTGAGACTAAAAGCCCTAGAATTTTCAGCTCCAAATCCCAGGAATTTCAACCCCAAAACTCCTGGAAATTCAACCCCAAAACTTCTGGAATCTTGACCCCAAAACCCCTGGAATTTCAGCCCCAAAACCCCAGGAATTTTAGACTCAAAATCCCTGGAATTTCAACCTCAAAGTCTCTGGAATTCCAACCCCAAAACCCCTGGAATTTCACCCCCAAAATCCCTGGAATTCCAGCCCCATAACCCCAGGAATTTTAGACTCAAAATCCTCAGAATTTGAACCCTGAAATCCCTGGAATTTCATCCCCAAAACCCCAGGAATTTCATTCCTAAAATCCCTGGAATTTCATCCCAAAATCCCTGGAACTTCATCCCCAAAACCCCAGGAATTTCATTCCTAAAATCCCAGGAATTTCATCCTCAAATCCCAAGAATTTCATCCCCAAATCTCTGGAATTTCAACC